CTGCCCTGGAGTTTGACTTTAGGCATAGTGGGTGCAGTTTTCTGAATAATTTCTTTACACCCCGTAAGTCAACTGTACATTAAGATCCAGCGATTCATTTACTCCAACCTGCATACAATTGTCTCAGGCTACCAATGCAAGATGTGAAAAAAAAATGGCTCTATAACTGGAAGCTGCATCTGGCTATAAGATGTAATATAACGGATGTATCATTTTCGGCGGGCGCCCCCCCTTCACTTTTCGCCCGGTGCCCGCGCCCCTGCTGCACCCCCGGTTGTTACGCCACTGCGTAGTGTTTAGCGCTTCTGCCTTGCAGCACTGGGGGTCCCGGGTTCTAATCCTGGCCACAGAAGTTTGCATGTTCTCCCTGTTCTTGCCTGGGTTTCCTCCCACACTCCAAAGACATGCTGGTAGGTTAATTGGCTCCTCTCTAAGTTGGCCCTCTATGGATGCATGTGATGATAGGGACCTTGGATTGTAAGCTCCTTGAGGGTAGGGACTGATGTGAATGTACAATTATGTAAAGCGCTGTATAAATACCTGTAATAAATGTCAGTCATGGCTGTTTTTTCAATGCTGCACCTTCCTTTCACCAGCCAACAGGGTTGTTGCTACCCCCCCCCTTCCCTCCTTCAAGTAGGGATCTGGCATTGTGCAATTTATAACCCATGCTACTGCTGGGGATAAGTGTAGTCATTGTAGTGATATTGATTTTGTGTTTTTTCCCCCTCATATTTATTTGCTATTTGTGTATTGTAGCCTTAAATGTTTTTCACTTTTTTTGGAGGTGAGAAAATTTAGATTAGGTTTGCTTATTGTATTTTTTTTTATTATTTACAATATTTATTTTTATTGTATTCTTTGGGGGTTTTTTTCCCTTGTATTGAATGGCTATTTCTTTATTGTAGCTTTAAATGTTTTTTCACTTTTTTAAGAAATATTTAGATTAGGTTTTGTTTTTTGGGATTATTATTATTATTATTTATTTATATTTTATTTTGTTCTTTGTAATTGTATTTTTTGTTTCTTGTATTTAATTTCTATTTCTGTATTGTAGCTTGAAATGTTTTTCTTTTTCACTTTTTTGGAGGGGGGGAATATTCAGATTAGACTTGCTTGTTGTTGTTTTTGTTATTATTATTGTTGTTATTATTAATCTAAATTTTCTCATCTCCAGTAAAAGTGAAAAACATTTAAAGCTACAATACACAAATAGCAAACAAATATGAGAAAAAAAAACCCATTAATATCATTGTTGTTATTGTTATTATTTATTTCTGTTTTATTTTGCTCTTTGTATTTGTGGTTGTTTTGTTTGTATTTAATAGCTTGTTCTGTATTGCAGCTTTACATGTTTTTCTTTTTCACTTTTTTTGGAGGGGGGAATATTTAGATTAAGTTTGCTTGTTGTTGATTTTTGTTATTATTATTATTATTATTGTTGTTATTATTAATCTAAATGTTCTCATCTCCAAAAAAGCGAAATACATTTAAAGCTGCTATACACAAATAGCAAACAAATATGAGGAAATGTTTGCATTATTCTTATTGTTGTTATTATTGTTGCTATATTTTATTTTGCTCTATCTGTTTGTTTTTTCCCCCTTTTTTCCCCTGTATTTAATCATTATTTGCATATTTTTGCTTTTTATTCCCCCCCCCTTTTTTTTTTTTTTACAGTGCTTTTGTTGTTTCTGTGAAAAAAAAATGTAAATAATATGGCTGATGAGGGGGCACAAAAATAGGTCCAGGATAGATCAAAGGTAACCTTCAGAAACCATTTAAAGCCCATTTCACCCTGAAAATCCCACCAAAACCATGCTAATTTTGACTTTCCTATTGCCCCCCAAAAATGTCACCAAAATGGTAAAATGTTTAGGTTGTTTGCAGATATTTCTTTCGATTTCCATGTGCACCATGGGAAACTTTCGATTTCACGTATCCCCGCTATTCTTTACAGTCACTTTCCTATAAATGAGCCTCAGTACATGGAACTATATTGACCTCATTGGGTTTTATATTTTTATTATCTAATAAAATATTGGTGGGCAGATCCAACCCAGATATACAATGTCCTTGCAAACCCATGTATGACTTTTTTTTTGTCCATTGATTAATAATTGATTGAAATTCTTCTCATTCTGGTTTCCTGTTCTAGGCACCGTGCTGCTTGCTGTTTATAACTACAACCTATCAAGAGAGCTTGTCTCCAAATCGTCGCTGGGAATTCTGCTTATTATTTTAGCCCTCATCTTGGCACATATAGGTAACTCATGTTTATGTTTTTGACCAGTTTTTATTTCTCATCTAAGTTACCAATAATGGACACTGTATGGCCAAAATTTGTGGGCACTTGAAGACCATCACACCTACATGAACTTGTTGGACATTCCATTCCAAAACCTTGGCCATTAATATTGAGTCCCTTTGCAGCTTTATAGGGCTATGGTTGTTGTTTATAAGAAAATCCTATCCCCAAACCCACTTGAGTTCCTCCAGACCATACTGGTCACATGAGGTCAGGGCTCTGGTGTGGAGAACCTTGAGTGGCCCTCACAAACTGGTCAAACCATGTCTTTATGGAGCTGGCTTTGTACATCTGAACTCAATAACTCCTATGATGGACTTAGGTTCCACAAGGTGTTCCTATGGTCCATTAGTTTGAGGTCAGGGCTCTGGTGTGGAGAACCTTGAGTGGCCTTCACAAACTGGTCAAACCATGTCTTTATTGAGCTGACTTTGTACATCTGAACTCAATAGCTCCTATGATGGACTAAGGTTCCACAAGGTGTTCCTATGGTCCATTAGGTTGAGGTCAGAGCTCTAGTGTAGAGGAATTTGAGTGGCCTTCTCAAACTGGTCAAACCATGTCTTTAGAGAGCTGGCTTTGTACACCTGAACCCAATTACTCTATGATGCACTTGTATTCCATAAGGTGTTCCTATGTTCCATAGGGTTGAGGTCAGGGCTCTAGTGTGAAGGAACTTGAGTGGCCTTCTCAAACTGGTCAAACCATGTCTTTATGGAGCTGGTTTTATACACCTGAACCCAATAACTAAGGTGTTCCTATGTTCCATAAGGTTGGGGTCAGGGCTCAGGTATGGAGGGACTTGAGTGGCCCTCACAAACTGGTCAAGCCACGTCCTTATGGAGCTGGCTTTGTACACAGGGGACAGTCATAGTGAAACTGCATCCCACCCCTTTGCTTACGTGCAGCTGAGGACGGTGGATTCCTGGCTGCAGCTGGTTGGGCGGAAAGAGCTTCCTTCTGTGTTTGGAGGAGCTCAGGTTCAGACCGGGTTCAGTCCTAACCTAAGCTCATCCCTTATTTGTTACCCTGTCACAAGGGCTTCCAATGGAGACTACAAGTGGCCACTTCAACACACTATAGGCAGGCATGGTCCACTGTTGTCACCATTAGAAAACCTCCCCTGAGAAATCCCATGGACTAATCAAGGGAGTGCATGGAGACAGGGGGGGGGGGATTTATCAAAACTGGAGCAGACAAAATCTGGAGCAGCTGTGCATGGCAACCAATCAGCTTCTCCGTCTCATTTTCAAATCTCACCTGAGCAAACTGAAGAGAGAAGCTGATTGGTTGCCATAGGCAACTGCTCCAGATTCTCTCTGCTCCAGTGTTGATAAATCCCCCCTAGGGAGTGGTGGGATGTAACAAAGGAGGAAAAAAGGGAAAACAAATATATTATTAAAACAAAGAAGTCAATTTTATATGATGAACAGTGTTTTTTTTGAGGATTAAAGGTCATCCAGTTAGGTTAACTCTACTAGAAAACACTAACATGAACATCCTCTATGTCTTTTGTTTTCTTATAGGGATCCAGAAAAAGTTCAGCCCAGAACCCTTGGTAGTCACACTAGTCATGACGGTGTCGTCCCTCTGGAGCAATTCTGGCATTATACTTCTCTTAGCAGACAATGGGATCCTTTCAGCATCAGGACAGTTTCGAGAAACCCAATTCCCGGGCCTAGTAGCCATCTGCTGTGCCTTCCTCATTATAGGCTGTGTGGGAACGCTCCAAAATAAAGGAGCCTTCCCGCTTCTGTCTTTTGGTCTTGGCCTTGCCAACATCCATGTCCTTGCCATGTCCAATGACCCTTCTCTTGGTTCCTCGGGTATCGCTTGCAACTTCATGATAGTCACCGTTATCAGCATCTATCTGGTGGCCGTAAGGTTTGCAAACATGAGGGCTGGGAAAAAGGCCTTGCCGGCTGAGAAAAAAGTCAGCTTCCCAAACCGGATCTCAAGGAACCACCTGGTTGTCTCAGGAATTTTAGCCAACATAGTGTCATCCAGCATCCTCTCTGGAAAACTCTTGGGGACGGTCACCGTCCTGTTCAGCGGCCAAGCCAATTGGATGTTCACATCGGCAGCGTACCAGGTGGCGGTGTCCGTTGCGTCCTTTTGGGCCAGAGATATAATACACGCCACTTTCTTCAGCTTGTTGGCCATGCTGAAGATCGTAGAAGGATATTCCCTTTTAAACCAGCCAAGTACCTCAGGAGAGCAGTTACTCCCTTCCTCCTTCATGGTTGTGTTGGCCGTCCTTTTCTTTACTTTATCTTTGATGATGTGCCTTCAGAATGTCTGCATCGGCCTATATACGCTCCTCTTTGCCATTTATTGCGCCACTTTAACTCTTCCCAGCGGTATAAACCACAATGCAGCGCAGTCGGTCAACCTGGTCATCTTCTTTACGTCGGTGGCCCACATGTCTCTTAGACTCTACCTGTCAAAGACCGACTTCAGAATCCCGGAACGTAAAGGTCTAGCGCAGATGATGAATTCCTGTTTCCGATGTATGAAGATCACGCCAAGAATAGTCATGCACCACCCTTATTCTCCTACCTTGAACACCCGAGATGTGGACGTCATTGGCCACGCGTTCAACACCCTGGCAACGTTCTCCCTGACGGTACAGGCACAGGGCACCTTTATACTGGTCATGGCGAGCGGAAGCATGGTGCACATGGCCGGTTTGATGTCCCTGTATACCGGAAAGGCGGCGGAGAGCAGCGCTTTTGTTTTTTACGGCGTGCTGTGGGTGACTTGGGGCCTTGCAGAGTATATGGCGCTCCAAGTGCCAGTGAGAGCATTTTACATAGCCGTGGGCATTATCTGTTTCTTAGTTTTGAATGGGTTTCTTACCATGTGCATGACCACTCTTAACACAGCCTGGTTCACGAATTCACTTTTTCTGGAGGTTCTGCTCATTATGAGTTTGTTGAACACCTTAAATATTGTCCCCAGTCAATGTGTTGTTGTTTTTAGCATACTGTTCGGTGTGGTGAGCTTTTACTGCTTTTTAGCTGCCCTGGTCAATGGGACTTTGGTGGCACCTCATCTGCCATGGGGAAAGCCACTCCTGAAACCCACGCTGCCTCAGGAGAGTTGTACCCTATGCCCGTTTCCTGCCAAGAAAGTCACATCTATCAGGAAAATAGCAGGTGAGTGAATGTGATGTGAATAATGTTCCTTTATTTGATAAGAAAACACTCACAATTATTGCTTTACTTATTCACTGTGCAAGGCTTGTGGGTGCCTCTGGTGGTACATCAGGGGTACAAGACTCGTGGGTGCCTCTGGTGGTACATCAGGGGTAAAAGACTCGTGGGTGCCTCTGGTGGTACATCAGGGGTACAAGACTTGTGAGTGTCCCTGGTGCTACATCAGGGGTTACATAGTTAGTCAGGTTGAAAAAAGACACAAGTCCATCGAGTTCATCGAGTACAAGGCTTGTGAGTGCCTCTGGCCTGAGACCCTCGGCAAATCTCCTCTTCCTCAGACCCTCTCCTCCTGAGACCCTCCACACATCTCCCCCTCCTGAGACCCTCCGGACATCTTCCTCTCCCGAGACCCTCCACACATCACCCCGTCCTGAGACCCTCCACACATCTCCCCCCTTCTGAGACCCTCCACATCTAACCCTCCTTAGACCCTCCACACATCTTCCCCTCCTGAGACCCTCCACATCTCCCCCTCCTGAGACCCTCCACACAT